CAGCAGGTACCCCTCGGGGCAGGCGCAGAGGAAGCCCCCGCCGGCGGCGTGGCACTCGAACTCGCAGGGGTCCCCCCGGCAGGCGTCCGCCGGCCCGCAGCTCTGCCCGTCGGCGCCCAGCTCGTAGCCCTCCAGGCACTCGCAGTAGTAGTGGGCGTCCGCGGCCCGGCAGAGGTGCTGGCAGCCGCCGTTGTCGCGCCGGCACCAGTCCCGGGGGGCGTCGGAGCAGAAGGGCGCCTCCCTGCTCCAGCCCGTGCCCCCGTCCTCCCGCTGCAGGCACAGGGCCGACTGGTCCCCCCTGGTGCCCTCCGGGCAGGGCACGCTGGCCACCGAGCCGAAGGGCACGTGGCTCAGCAGGGCGCTGACCAGGTGGAAGGGGGTGGAGTAGAGCACGGGGCCGCCCCCCTCGCTCTCCAGGGGCGGGCACATGCCCCTGTAGGCGTAGCGGCACAGGTAGCCGTCCACGGGCAGCGTGCACGAGCCGTCCTGCCACTTGAGGTTGTCCTGGCGGTCTCGGGGGTCCTGGCTGTGGGTCATGACCACGCAGCGGGGCGCGGCGCAGGTGCTGGGCGAGTCCTCGCGCAGCCAGTGGGTGTACTGGGTGTCCTGGTCGCCCGTGATCCAGGTGAAGCCGCGCAGGGGCCGGGTGGCCGAGCACTGGCGTGGCTGGCGCTGGAGCCCGATCCAGATGCGGGCCCGGGCCCGGGCGGCCGCGCGGGGCTCCAGGCCCGAGAAGAGCTCGTGGATCAGCGCCGCCTCCTCGGGCCGCTTCACGGTGGCCAGGTTGCCGCCCCGGTCCCTGCAGCTCCTCCAGGCGTCCAGGAAGGTCTTGCGCTGGAAGTAGACGGCGTAGCAGCCCCCCGGCCGACACAGGGCGTCCCGCTCCCCGAGGTCCTGGGCCTGGCCGGCGCCGGCCAGCCACAGCAGGGACGCCAGCAGGCAGGAGCGCCACAGCGGCCCCATCTCCGCCCCGGGGCCCGCTCCCCCGGCTCTTCTCTCTGCTCTTCCCCGGACCTCACCTCCTCCCTCTCCCTGGGGCTCTCTCTTCACTCCTTCGCTCTTTCTCCGCTGCCTTCTGCACACTCCCTTTGTTCTGCTCTGTCTCTCTCTGTCTCTCGCTCCGTCGCTCTGTCTCTCTCTGTCTCTCGCTCCGTCTCTCTGTCTCTCTCTGTCTCTCGCTCCGTCTCTCTGTCTCTCTCTGTCTCTCTCTCTCTCCGTCTCCGTCTCTCCCTGCTGCTCGCCAGAGCTCCAGCTCCTGCACTGAGAGCTCGCAGTCTGTCCCGGGACTTTTCGCCAGGGAGAGGGGAGGGAGAGAGGAGAGAGAGGGAGAGGGAGGGGGAGCCGAGAGGAGGAATGTATGTTTTAGGGAAAGGAGAGTGTGTGTGTGTGTGTCCGCGTGTGTCAGTGTGTGTGTGTGGGAGTGAGAGCCTGTGTGTTTGCCAGTTTGTTTGTTTGTTTGTGAGTGTGTGTCAGCGGGTGTGTGAAGAATCGTGTTTAGGTGTTTGCGTGTCAGCGTGAGTATCTCACAGTGTAGTGTTGTGTCAGTTTGTGTACTTGTTAGTGTGTGTGAGACTGAATCTGTGCTCAAGAGAGCAAAAGTGTACTGGTTTGTGTGCAAGCGTACGATTCTGCGAGTCTGAACGAGTGTGTGAGTGTGTGTGTGTGTGAGATTGTGTGTGAGTGTGAGAGTGACAGGGTGTGTGAACGAGTGTGTGAGTGTGTGTGTGTGTGAGCCGTATGGTTTTCATAACTCTTTGTAAGCAGGCGATCTGGGACCCTGCCATCTATCTGCCTTTCTCTCCCCTGCAAGGCGATCCAGCCAGGAGACTTTTAAACCCTCCTTTTTTAAACTTTTTGATTCTTTAAGGATGAAATAAAAAAAAAAGAATGATTAAGCCAGCAAGAGGGCGGCCTGGACTCCCTGCTGCTGCCCTGACATTTCTGTCCCTCCACATCTCTCCTCCCTGTTCTCTCATTCTCTCCTCTCTCCCCCCTCCCTGCCCCCCTCCCTCGCTCCGTCTCCTGCTTGGGGCTTGGGGAGCTCGGGACGCCTCACAATAAGCGCAGGTATCGAAAAGAAAATGACAGCGAGACGCCTCTTAAAGCACACCTCCCGAGCCTGGGGGAGCCATTGAGAAACATCAGGTGGCCTGCTGTAACTGGCGTCGGTGGACCAGCAGGGGGCGCCCTTCCCTCTAGGCCAAAATTGCCCCACCCAGTGCCCCTGGGACGCTGCGCTGTGGGAGACGCCAGTGAGAGGTTATACCCGTGTCGGGTCCTGGGTCGTGAAAGAGGGCTGTCCGCGAGGCTAGGGGTGTGAACGGGCTAAAGTCCGTTCCAGGCTAAAGTCCAGGGCAGTTGGTTCTGGATGGGTTTCGGCCATCGTGCAGGAAATCTGCAGCGATCCCCTTCTGCATCAGGAGGTCATAACGGACGTCGTCTGGAACGGACGTGTCGGTCCAGGGAAGTGGGTATGAAGACCCCCGGTCGGCGCCGGTTCTACCTTTCCAGTGTAATTCCGTTTGGGTGTTACAGAGGCGACTGCTGCCTCTCCCCGTCCTCTCCCGGAAGTCGGAATTCCTCCCTGATTCCCCTGAAGCCATCCCTCCTCCTCGAAACCCCACGGGGGTCCTCGGTTCCATTCCGTTTTTTTGTGCTGTCTGTGTGGAGCTTGCATGTTCTTCCCATGCTCCAGTTCCCTCCCACAGTCCTCAGGCATGCTCTTGGGTTCATGGACTTCTGGGAAAACTGGCCCCGGTGTGAACCCTAGAATGTGTGTGCCCTAGAATGGACTGGTGTCCCATCCAGGGTGTACCCCGCCTTGCGCCCGTTGCTTGCTGGGATTGAACCAAAAAGGAAGAACGGGAGATAATGTCTATGACAACAAAAAAGTCATCCTTACTGCTACTACCGAGGAACCACGCGTCTCGCTTACAGCAAGACCGAGGATGTGGGGGGGGCGGGGGGCGGTCTGCCACAGTCTGGAGAGGAAATCGCCAGACCACAACAAGCTCATTAAACAGCAACACACTGCTCCGCGCCGATCCTCCGAGAGCGCTGGCTCTGCTGAAACCCAAGCCTCCCAAAAAATGCGTGCTCCTTCACCGCAGAGCAGTCTTTAAACAGCAGAGACCTGCAGTTAACTGTTCGCACCCCTCACCAGGCATCTGCTGCAGATCAGGGCCTGACAGATGTTCTGTCAACATCTGGGCCGCTGTTCTGCTATCACACGGTGCCAGGACAGTGTCTGCCCAGGCGTTGGTTAGGGAATCCCGCTGGGGAGCTCCATTGCACCCTGCGCCACTGACGTCAGGGCCGAAGGGCAGGGACGAACAGGGGGGAAAGTTCATTGAAACGCTGTAACACGAAACCCGCTTCTTAACCAGCCCAAACACTACACCTTCGACCCCAGATCTCGCTCTGAACTTCGGTGCCCTGTGTATGGCTCCCACCCTCCCGGCCTGTCATGGCTGCTCTCGCTGGGGCAATAAGCATCACAGCAGGATCACCAACAGCACTGATCCGGTTCACCGATCGGTGGCCACAACAACCCACTGTGGCTGACCATCAAGGCCACCTGCTCATCTTCCTCCTGCCCTGGCTATTTCATCGCCGTGCTTGTCTGGACTGTGTGTTGTGGATTTTCCCTGTGGCTTAATTCCGTGTTTTTCCTGGCTTAGACACCCGTCTTACTTCTTCGGCTTTGA